TTGTAAAAGGAACAACCCAACAGGAAGAAATGACGCTCATAAATAAATATGCACCAAATACTGATGCCCCCAACTATACAAAACAAATATTAAGAGACATGAAACACCAAATAATCACTAATACAATTGTAGCAGGGGACCTCAATACCCCCTTGTCACAAATAGACAGATCATCAAGACTAAAAACAACAATGATATACTACAACTGAACCAAGCTTTTGAACAAATGGACTTAACAGATGTCTACAGAGTGTTCCACCCCACAAAATCACAATACACATTCTTCTTTTCAGCTGCACATGGGTAATTTTCCAAAATAGACCACATGCTTGCTTATAGAACATGTTTAAGTAAATACAAAGGAAATGAAGTTATCCCATGTATATTATCAGACCATAGTGCAATTAAATTGGAGATCAATAACATAAGATACTGTAAGAACTTCACAAACACATGGAAATTGAATAACACTCTCCTGAACAACCAATGAGTTACAACTTAATGACAATGCCAGTACAACATACAGGAATCTATGGGATACAATGAAAGCAGTTTTATGTGGGAAACTTATAACAGTGAATGCTGACACTAGGAAAACAGAATGAGCTCAAATAAACAAACCTAATGGTGAATCTTAAACTCCTAGAAAAAGAAGAGGAAGAGAAACCTAAAGCTCATACAAGGGAGCAAATTATAAAGACCAGAGCAGAAATCAATACAATGGAAACTAAGAGAATGACATACAAAAAAAAATCAACAAAGTGAAGAGTTGGTTTTTCAAAAGAATAAATAAAATCGATAAACCCTTAGCTAACCTTATCAAAAAGAGGGAAAAAAGGCTCAAATCTATACAATTAGAAATGAAAATGGTGAAGTCACAACAGATTTAGCAGAAACCAGAGGATCATCAATCCTTACTTTGAGAAACTATACTCTAATAAAATGGAGAACAGAGAAGAAATGGACAGATTTCAAGATACAAATGAATTACCAAAGTTGAACAAAGAAGATATAAAAATTCTAAACACCCCAATTACAATCAGTAAAATTGAAAATGTAATTAAAAATTTACCAACAAAGAAAAGCCCAGGTCCTAATGCCTTCACTGCTGAATTCTACAAGACATTTGGAGAAGAATTATTGCCACTACTCTTTACACTTTTCAATGAAATTCAAAGAGAAGGAATAGTTTGAAGTTCATCCCTGGAAGCAAGTATTACTTTGATTCTAAAACCAGGGAAAGAACCAATCAAACAAGAGAATTGCAGGCCAGTCTCCCTAATGAATATAGATGCAAAATCTTCAATAAGATACTGGCAAACATAGGAAAAGAATTTATGAACAAATCCTCAAAAGCATGGGAACTAGCACAAAGAATCAACAGCTGGGATCTCATCTTATTAAAAAGCTTTCAGCACTGCCAAAGAAACCACCAACAAAGCTGAGACAACCTACAGTGTGGGAAAATATTTTTACAAGCTGCTCCTCGGACAAAGGACTATTTTTAGAATATATAAATAACTAAAAAAGCCCAGACACCCCCAAATAAAAAGACCCGATTCAAAAATGGGCATTGAAATTAACAGATATTTCTCAAACAAGTAAAAGTAGAAAATAAATATATGAAAAAATGTTCAACATCATTGTTCATTAGAGAGATGTAGATGAAAACAACACTGAGATTCCACCTCACCCCAGAAAGAATGGCTGCTATCAAGAAATCAACCAACAACAAATGCTGGCAGGGTTGTGGGGAGAAAGGAACCCTTCTCCATTGCTGGTGGGAGTGCAAACTGGTACAACCACTGTGAAAATCAATATGGAGATACCTCAAAGAACTAGGATTAGAGGTTCCATTTGAACCAGCCATCCCTCTGCTGGGTATCTTTCCAAAAAGAATTAAAAGAATCACACCACAGTGATATATGTGCACCCATGTTTATAGTGGCACAGTTTGTAATAGCTAAAACTTAGAAACAGCCTAACTGCCCACCAGTCGGAGATTGGACAAAGATGTGGTTTTTCTATAAAATGGAGTACTACTCAGCCATAAAGAACGAGAAACTAGAGTCATTCATAGGAAGGTGGATGCCCATTGAGGCACACACTTAAGTGAAATAAATAAGATCCACATGTGTAAATATTGAATAGTTTATCTGGTGTGAAAAACTAAAAGGTAAATAAGATCCAAATTGTATAACTGATATGGGTGAAATAGGAAGAAAAGGGCTAAAGGTGTAGGGGAAGTGGGAAGGGTCAGGGGAAGGAAATAAGGGAAGAGAAAAATATGAGAAAAGGAAAAATGGAAAGAAAGTCTTTGTAAATAGTGGAGGGTGGAGGGGGTAAAGGGAGGGCTGGGGAATGGGGAAAAAATGAGAACAAAGATCTGTTATGTAAAGGTACAAGATCCCAATGATGAATGAAAATGTGCTGCATACTTAAAAAGTACCAATAAACTCAATAAAATAGACACTGGCAAACAGAATACAGAGGGTCACCAAGAAGATTATACAACCTGACCAAGTTGGATTTATCCCAGGGATGCAAGGATGGCTCAACATATGTAAATAAATAAATCTAAGACACTATATTAACAGAATCAAGGACAAAACCCATATGATTATGTCAATAGATGCACAAAAAGCATTCAAGAAAACTCACCAACCATTTATGATAAAAACCCTACAGAAAATTGGAATAGATGGTCTTTATCGCAACTTGATAAAGGCTATCTATGCAAACCCAACAGCCAACATCATACTAAAAAGTCAAAAACTGAATACCTTCAGACTAAAATCAGGAAAAGAGAAGGATGTCAACTATCACCACTCCTGTTCAATGTAGTTTTGGAAACATTAGCCACAGCAATTAGACAAGAGAAGGAAATTAAAGCCATAAAGATAGGAAAGGAAGAAATTAAACTGTCACTATTTAATGATGATATGATACTCTACATAGAAGACCGAAAGAACTCCACCAAAAGACTTCAGATTCAGCAGAGTAGCTGGATACAATGTAAATACTCAAAAAATTAATAACCTTCTTGTACACAAATAACAGACTCACTGAGAGTGAAATGGGGGAAACAATTCCTTTCATAATAGGAATCCAAAAAATGAAATATCTATGACTCAATCTAACAGAGGAGAAAAGAGACTTCTAGGTTGAGATCTACAACACTCTGAATAAAGAGATCAAAGAGGATACAACAAAATGAAAGATATCCCTTGTTCCTGGGTAGGAAGAACCAATACAGTGAAAATGGTGATATTTCCAAAACTTCTATACAGATTCAATGCAATCCCTACTGAAATCCCTATAGTATGTTTCATAGAACTAGAGAAAACAATCCAAAAATTTATTTGGAATCAGAAGAGACATAGAATAGAAAAAGCAATTCTAGGCAACAGAGAAATGGCAGTGGGTATCACAATCTCCAATTTGAAACTATACTACAAAGCCTCTGTGGTGTAAACAGCATGGTACAGGCAAAGATACAGACCCATGGATCAGTAGAACAGTTTAGAAAATGCAGAAACAACTCCTGACATACTCAGCTACCTCAACTTTGACAAAGGAGCCAAACGTCCTCACTGGAGGAAAGACAGCCTCTGTGATAAATGGTGTTGGAAAAACTGGATTTCAACTTGTGAAAGATTAAAACTCGACCCGTATCTTTCACCACTCATGAAACTAAAATTCAAGTGGATTAAAGATCTAAAAATTAAAACAGAAACACTAAACTTGCTGGAAGATAAGTTAGGCAGAACTCTTGAAGATATCAGTTTATGAAAACACTTTATGAACAAATCCTCAGTAGCACTGGAACTAGCATAAAGAATCAACATTTGGGATCTCATCTTGTTAAAAAGCTTCTGCACAGCAAGAGAAACCACAAGCAGAACTAAGAGACGACCCACAATGTGGGGAAAAGTTTTTACCAGCTATTCCTCAGACAAAGGTCCACTATCTAGAATATATAAATAACTCAAAAGAGCAGAGTCCCCAAATATAAAGACCCGATTCAAAAATGGGCATCTGAAATGAACAGACATTTCTCAGACAAAGAAGTAAAAGCAGCAAGTAAATACATGAAAAAATGTTCCACATCACTGATCATTCAAGAGATACAGATGAAAACAACACTGAGATTCCACCTCACCCCAGAAAGAATGGCTGCTATCAGGAAATCAACCAATCACAAATGCTGGCAGGGTTGTGGGGAGAAAGGAACCCTTCTTCCTTGTTGATGAGAGGGCAGACTAGTGCAACCACTGTGGAAATCAGTATGGAGATACTTCAAAAAACTAGGATTAGAGGTCCCATTTGACCCAGCTATTCCCCTACTGGGTATCTTCTCAAAAGATTTAAAAGAATCATAACACAGTGATATATGTGCACCCATGTTTATAGCAGCACAGTTTGTAATAGCTAAAGGTTGGAAACAGCTCAATTGCCCATCAGCTGGAGACTGGATAAAGAAGATGTGTGTGTGTTTGTGTGTGTGTGTGTGTGTGTGTGCATGTTTTATTTTTTTTAAATTTAAAAATATTTTTTGGTACTGGGGATTGAACTTGGGTCCTTGGGCTTGCAATGCAGGCCACCGAACCGCTGAGATAAATCCCCGGCCCTTGTGCGTGTGTATTCTCAATAAAATGGAATACTACTCAACCATGAAGAGAAGAAACTGGAGAGATTTATAGCTACACTGACACACACTGAAGCCATACTCTTAAGTGAAATTAATAAGTCACACATGCAGGTAGCAGAACCACTGAGCTAAATCTCCGGCCCCATTTATCTCTTTTTAATGCAACCATTCACAGCTCATTTATGAAGCAACCCCCACGCTCTTCTTACATGTGTGAAAATCCCACCTTAAAATAACATTACTGCCATGTTCTCTTGGGATATTCTAAAACACTCATGGACAGAGCACACAAGAAAAGAAAGTCAGAAATGAGCAAATATAAAGTGTGCCCTTGCAGGCTCTGTCCGACCTCCGGAGCCATCCAGAAGGGGGTCCCCACAGAGGTGCTGCGGCGGTGCCGGGTGCTGGGGAGCTGTGCAGACACACCTGGAAGGAAGAGGCGAGATAATTCCCAGTCAGTCACTCGCGGAATACTAAAATTCTGCCCCCCTAGAGATGCCACTGGACTTAAACTTCATTTTTTAAAGAAGCCCAAGTCCCCCACCCAAGTACTACCCAGGCCTGACCCTGCTTAGCTTCTGAGGTCAGATGAGATCAGGTGCGTTCAGGAGGGTGAAGGGAGGGCAGGGGTATGGGGAAAAAACAAGAACCAAGATATATCATGAAAAGGTACAAGATCCCAATGATAAATGTAACTGCGTTGTTTGCTTTGAATATACCAATAAACTTAATGAATAAAACAACAACAAAACAGAAGCCCAACTCAGGATCTCTGTAGAGCCCAAGTACTCGAGGTCCTCTATTTTTAACATCCAAATCCTGCCCACCCTGAGGTCCAATTCGAGTCCTGGTTCTGCCATGCTGGCTTCTAATCTGTCCCCTCTCAGAAGAGTCTCCGCTGCCTTAGGTGTTCTGTATCGAAACTATTTGTGTAAACTGTATTATGTAATACACGAAACTGGTGTGCTTCTTCCGCTCCTTCTGCTTCTTTGCCCTGTTAACAGATTCTAGTGCAGCTCAGAATGTTTTCTGTGGTGTTATACACATAGCAGGCAACTTGTGAATATGCATAAAATTATTTTCCATCCACTGACCTTGCATGAATCACACACAATTGACTGGGAGTTTCAAATAACTACTTCTATTTAAACCCACACCATTCATAGAGCCTTTCAATTTTTAATCTTAAATTCAGCTTTAACTGTTTTATAAATAAAAATAATATGTATTTTTGAAGTACCAAGTGATGTTCTTCTCCCTGCTTATCCCTACCTATCTACTACCTTATCTATCTATATCTAGATTCTATATATTTTAATTTTTAAATAAGGGTAAATATCTCTCCTTAAACATTTAGCATTTTATTATGGTGAAAATATTCAAAATCCTTTTCTTCCAGCTTTTTGAAATACAGTTTATTATTGTTGTCTATTCACCTTATTATACAATAGCACACCAGAATGATTAAACCTGGATTTAGTGGCAGTATCAAAGTATAGCAAATTTTTAATATAAAATGGAAACGTAAATGGTTTTTAAAAGAAAATTTAATTTAAAATTGGCTCTTAATTTTCTGAAACTTATTCTGAGGGGTTTCAATTGTTATTAAAAATTTAAATTATATCTAACCCTCAGTGAATATTTTTGCTTCAATTTCCTGAAGACAGTTTAAGAATTCAAATGTCATTTAGATGAGATGTGAGGAGAAAGATGAAATACAACCAAGTAAATCTCAAGGTTTCCTCCTAGAAAGAAAGTAACATTTTAGACTAAACAAATTTTCTCTTTCTGGGTGTGAAGCAAATGTTATACTACTAGCGTTGGCACTTTTCACCAAGTAGAAATATTCTAGTTTCAGAATCTATACAGATGATAGTGGAGAAGGACCTTCCTCCACAGTGCTTAGGAAATACGTATGGGGATGCTGACAGAATCCTTTAGGCGGGTGGTATACAACCCAAGGCAGACCGGCTCTTTTCCTTGGAGATGCGTCATCAGAGGAGGAATGCGAGTAGAGCTGAGTCAGCCAATAGCGAGGCCCTGACTGTCTACCAGGAGTGTGTACTCCTGAGGTTGGGTTCTGTTCTCAGGAGACCATGTCACTAGTTTCACCCTTGATTGTGTGAGTCAGCCTGTGTTGTGCTCAGTTCCACAGTCTCAGTTGGTCAGAGTTAGTTTCTGTCACTTAAAACCAGAGAACTCTGAATATAATGCCCCTTAGCTTTTACACCTAAAGTAGCAAATTAACAAGGGCAATAGATTATCATGTGTTTATGGAGCCTAAGAGTAGTGTTATATTAATGAGATTATATATACTACCTTTGTATATTTATGTTAATATGAGATTAAGAATTTTCTAAGGCAGACATTTGGCCTCCAAGATCTTTGCTCAAATCCCCTAAACAAAAAATGTTGAGCCAGCCTACTGTCTACACAGAGGCAGACCATTCTCAATATACTTCCTAATATGTTAATATACACACTGAATCCTGTTAATGGCTGTCACTTTACAGGATGAAGTTCAGACAACAATTTAATAGAGGTATTACTATTTCCTCCTGAACTGGGCTCCAATGATGTGCACACCCCATGTGGATGCCCCCTTTCAAGGTCACTGCCCCAGCTTCCCAAGGTCACGAACATAACGCAGCTGGAGTCTCGTGTCTCGTTGGTGTCTGTCGGAATCTTCCAGAAAGAAGGTTTCACACAAGGCTCCTGTAGAAGTATATGTTTGGTTTTCAAAAGTCCCCCAAAATGTGAAGAAGAAAATAAAAAGACCCAAATTAAGTGAGAAATATAACTGGGTAGAATAAAGAATTCTTGAGCATATTAGATGATTATCATTTTAAAAATGAGACATACATCCAATTCTGCAACAGTGGCAGAGAGAGGCATTTACTAAATTCCATGTTTTCTAAATGTTCCTACAATACCTATAAAATCTCAAGATCACCTTACCAACATAACAAAACAGAGCCAAAGCTAAAGACAACTTTATGGTCATAAAGTCCATGCTATTTGCTTTCAAGTTAGTAAAATGAAACTGAAAGAAAAGAAATTTTCTGGAGGACAAATGGCATTTTTACTTTGCATAAATTCCCACAAAAAATAGCTAAGAAGATGGAAAAAAAGCAAAGCTCTACTAAAAATGATTGACATAAATTATTTTAAAAGGCCACAGGGATCCAAAGTAGGAGTTCAGTAGCCTTAGGAAGGCAAAGAGACTAAGAAAATCATTTTGTTCAGAGAGTAACTAATGGAATAAGTCACCAAAGTAAATACAGTATGTAATCATCATGAGAGCAGACACTATCAGGTGGAAAATTCCAAACAGAAAGTTAAGATAGTGAGAGGGGTATGTTAAGGAACAGGAGGTCACAGGGAGATGAGGGAATGAGCAAAAATCAGGCTAGAAAAGAGGGCCATAACCCATTAAAACTCAAAGCCAGCGGAGCATCTCAGAGGTTTATGTTAATGGTTCTTCAGCCTTTTGCTTTGCTGTGGAATTTTCAGGCTCTTTGGGGCCTGTCCAACAAGGCTTCCTGGCTCCTGCATAGCTGAGGAGCAACCCCACTCCGGATTGCACAAGTCCTGCTTCTAGGGAGAGAAAGGAACAGGCTGTATGCTTGCAGCCAAGAGTTCTCTACGGGCCCTAGGGAGACAGCAGAAATATCAAACATGATTCCCAAGACAACTTAAGGGAACTTGTTTTACTATAACCAATACAGTGAAGCCCTTAAAAATACTGCAAGAGCGATTTTAAATTATGAAAATACAGAACTCTGTTATATAAAAGGGCCACACAACAATTATATCAATAAATATAATGATTTTGTTGATGGTTAATTTTAAGATACTGTGATGATTAATTTTTAAGGGTCCATTTGATGGGCCACAGTGCACAGATATTTGGTCAAATATCATTCTGGGTATTTCTTGGAGATGATTTTTCTTACTAGATTAACACATAAATTGGTGGATTTTGAGTAGAGCAGATTACCCTCCACAAAGTGAGTGGGTTTCATCCAATGAACTGAAGGCCTCCACAGAAGGAATAATACCTGCGGATGGCCCTTGGACTCAGACTGCAATTCTTCTCCACAGCCTACTCTGCAGACTCTGGACTTGCCAACCACAGACAAGCTGGCGAGCCAATTCTATATGACTTTTTCCACAGAACACACACTATCACCACACACACACACACACACACACACACACACACTGTCCTACTGATTTTGTTTCTTTAAAGAACCCTAAGCAGAACATTTTCTATTTTTTTGTATAAGAACTCTTAGGGGTATTGGATCAAAACTACAGTAAACTACATTGCTTGCCACCTGATCTGACGTGTCAGTCACAATTGCTGTACAAGGCACAAAAGTTACAGCAATCTCCACCCATCTAAAGGGCCAAGACTCTCTGTTTCATTTTCTTTTTTTATCTCTCATTATTCAATTTCCCCCTTTTTGAGAGCCAGTTAAAGCCTATGACAGAGATGGTGAACCTTTTAGAGATTTCAATGAAAACCAATAGCTTGTTGCGGCACATATGCCAGGGTTTGCCACCACTGGCCTAGGATGTTCAAAAGCAACCACAGGTCTGGGGATGTAGCTCAGTGACAAAGTACTTGTCTAGCACACAGAAGATCCTGGCTTTGGTACCCAGACCATTTAAAAAGAAAAAAAACCAAAATATGAAAAATAAAAAAGCAAGCACATATAGTAAAAAAAAAATATATATATATATATATAAAGTCGGTTTATATATCTAGAGAAAAGTACAAATTCAAAAAATGCCTAAGATCTGAAATTTACACTTTAGGATAATATCTGGCAAATACAAGGGATACAATAAGAAACAAAATCAAAAATCAGGAAACGGAGAAGTCAGAGGGCCTAATTTCTAGAATTATTACATTATTATAGTCAAAGCGTGTTTCAGAATCTACAACAAAAATAATAAGGTTTGAGAGACAAAGGAAATTATGTTCCACTCAAGGGGGGAAAAAAAACAACAAAAACATTCCTGAGAAAGATAAATGATCAACTTGCTAGACAAAGACCTTAAAGCAACTATCTTAAAGATTACAAAATAACTGTCTTAAACATGATCAAAGAACATGGAAAGGTAGGAAATAATGTACAAAATAGAATATCAACCAAAGATATAAAGCCTAAAAGGAAATCAAAGAAACTCTAGAAGTTGAAAGTACAGAACTAAAATGAAAATTCACCAGAGTGATTTAAAAGCAGATTTGAGCAGGCAGAAGAAAGGATCAGTGTATTTGAAGATAAAACAATAGAAATTATCAATTGTGTGGAACAACAACAAAAAGTTTAAAGAAAAGTGAACAGAGCATCCAGAATCTATGAGCTTCTATCAAGTGGAGAGAGGAGTCCTGTAGTACTGGACTCCTAGAGAAA